AACTAATTACTCTGAAGCTCTCTCACAGAATAAAGATCATGATGGCCAGGCTTTTTGCTGGCCATCATGAGATTGCTGGCAACTAGGCTGCTGATTGTGCAGCATGTGAAGCACATGCACTCTGGTATCATACAATTACCCCAAAGTATATGCAGGAACTGGTATGATGTCTGTATGACACAGCTTATGATTACTGGCAGCAAACTTGGCTTGGGAATGCCCAAGCCACAGGAAGGGGATCATCAAATTGGTAATAAAACCAATGGATAATAACTTAAGAGTTGGACGTCATGTGTTTTCTTGCTAACTGCATTTGTGGTGCACTTCTTCAAACATAGCCCATGCCCTCTCACAAAATTGTGATCATTATTTTTTATGTTTCACACAATGATTTTTCCCCCAACCACTCTTGCACATTGTCCTGCAGCTCACTAATGGGAAGAAACATCCCTATTTTCTCCATCCCCATGATGCAATTCACAATAGTATGCTAAATTTATCTAATTAAAAAAGCTAACAAGTTAGAATGGTTATTTTAAGCAGAGATGAATATTTTGACCAAAATACTCTATGTATACTTATGCTCAATGATATATTCATTTAAAAGCTATTTTTGATAAACTATGGGGTAAAATGGACCGTTTGTGGCAATTGTGGGGTAAGACTGGACCATTTGTGGGGTAAGACAGGACCATTTGTGGGGTAAGATAGGACCACTTGTGGGGTAAAACAGGATCATTTAGTGGTCCTGTCTTACTCCATGTCTGGTCCTTTTTACCCCATTTTAGAATAGTTGTCAGGCAGTGATGATAGCAGGTAGGAATGCCTAGTATATCTCAAAAGTTGCTTGTTACTTGAGGTTACCTGCCTACATCCACAAACCTGGCCAAAAAATTTTTTGTAACCAGACACAGCTTATTTCCCAAATAGGGTTAACTATTTTGTGACCCTTCTCTACATAGGTTTTTTTTTAAATTAACCAAAAATTAATTATTTGCAGAAGAGGGTTGAAACAAACACTGAAGTGACAGGCAACGATTGCTCTAACATATTCTTTTGTCAAATTAAATTCAGTACAATTAGAATGCATGCAATGGGCCGGTCCTTTCTTACCCCATGAAGGCTGTGATCCTGTCTTACCCCATTTGACTATATATATTTTTCCTTGTTGTTCCAATAATATATATTGAGCTGTGCTATCTACAAGTCAATACCTGCACCCGCGTCAAATTCATCAGTTATTAAGCATTGCAAAAATTTTGCATATATATCTGAATCATGAATGATTGGGCTGAATCAGGTGTATAGGCAAAATTTTTGAGCCTGATGCTGAATCTCTGTCAGACTATTGGCTATCCCTTGTTTGAAGTATCTATTTAAATTTCTGGAATTCTATGAGAATTAAACTCAGATTTATATCATATTTATATACATTAGATTTACATATAAGGTTATATTCAAAGATACTGTCAGAGTAATAAGGGGCGGTTTTGAGTTTTTTGTTTATAACTTCTTACCGTGAAACATTTCATAAACAAGTTTGGGCTCATTTTATAGCTCTTTGCAAGGGCTATCATATGGCATCTTAAAAAAATTCCTTATGCTATTTGTAACCGTAAGGTACCTGACACAAAATAAAAGCATCCTGAATTACTCCCAGGCCTGGGAATGGAGTAATCCGGGACACTTCAAATAAAGCAATGTTAAGGGGAGCATCTACCCTAAAATAGAAAATTTGGACTTTTTCAGTTTTCATACTCTTCTTAAAGCTTACATTCTTACGCATCTAATGGTAGCAAAACTATCTCTGTACGTTGATTTATGCGTTCACAACAGATCGCGAGTTAGGGGTGGTGGTGTTCTTTAACATTTAAGAAAGGCCAAAATTACTGGTAGCACACTTAAATAGCTAGTCTGAACATGCTGTGCTTCAGTTATTCGTCTGCAGTCGTACAGGATGGTTTTTGTGCCGTTGCTTGCACCATTCTTGACAGAAATTGAGCTCCAGTATCATCTAGTCTTGCAAACTTGCACCCTTGAATGTCTATTTCGAGGCGCGTGCAACTTTGTCGGGCTCTACTGAAAAGTTAACTTATTGTCACTGCAAACCTATCTCCTCCTAGAGTTCTGAAGCTACAGCAATGAGACATATACCATTTGATTTGTAAATAAAATCTCTAGAAACCATCCAGTCATTTTTTTCGATTTCATTATAGTTTGGATTATATTTTAAAAAAGGGGAAGGGGTGGAGGGGAGAAAATTTGAAACTTTGAGACAATTTTGCAAAACCCCCTCCTCCTCCTGAACAAATTCAAAATTATATTTGTCTCGATGTGGCACGATATTTGTAGGAGAACATCGATTTTTAAAGTACCCCCTTTTTTCGCCATTTTCTATGAATTTCACATTTTCTTTCATTATTTTTTTTTTAAATTGACACGAAGAAAAAGTTCTTAGATTTCTATTTTACATATGTTTACCAAGTTTCAAAACGATCTGTTCATAAATGAAAAAGTTTTAAAAAGAGGGAGAAAAACAAACGTTGAAAAACAAACATCGTTAAAAAACATACCAGAAACAGAAAGGGTTTTTTTAGTGACAACTGTCATGTTTTTGGAGAAATGAATCATAGTTTAGGTTAATTACTTTTAATTCTATGTTTCCTGGTGCACAATCCTCCTATAACATTATATGCACAATTTTGTGATGACCAATGATGCATTAATTTTTCATTGAGTGAATTTTTTTGGGAAAAACGTGCATAAAAAAATATGGGGAAAATGAAAAAAAGCGATGGCTAGGTCGATAGATTCTTTACTAAGCGAATGATATGTGTCTGGATGTTGTAGGATGATATTTGTAGGAGGAGATAGATTTTCTATAGTACCCGTTTTTGTCTGTTTTCTATGAATATCACGTTTTCTATCAATTTTTTTGAAAAATTCATAGGAGCAAAATGTTCTTATTTTTACATTTTGCGTATGTATGTGAACTTCAAATACATATGTAAAACCTAAAAAAATAGCATTTTGCTTGTATGAATTTTTCGAAAAAATTAATAGAAAACGTGAAATTCATAGAAAACGACTAAAAAGGGGTTACTTTAGAAAAGCTATCTCCTCCTACAAATATCATCCTACAACATCGAGACATGTATCATTCGATTTGTAAGGACCATACCTATCGATTTGATGATCTTTTTTCTCATTTTCCCCCTTAGTTTTTTTTATGCGCGTTTTATCCCATTTTTCTCATTCTTCCCCCCTTCTCCCCCATATAAAAAACGAACCAGACAGAAATTAAAAAAATGATCATCAGTTCGATAGGTATGGTCTTTACGAATCGAATGGTATATGTCTCATTGCTGTAGCTTGAAAACTGTAGGAAGAGATAGGTTTGCCGTGAGATCAATAGGAGGTTTTTATCACGCCCAAAAAACCCAAAAAACTGCCGGGCAGCCCGTAAAATGACATAAAAGAGTCGTAATGTAGCCAACATACCGTAAGTAAGCCTCAAACCAAGTCAGGAAGGCATAGAGCAACTGGCTGCACACCTTTCACCTTGCTGTCATGATGGGCACTAACTGCTTTGGCAACAGGAGGCTGTATTTATGGTGCCGCCTTTGAATTACTCTCATAGGGATTACTGAAAACCGCCCACTACCGCCCCCTGTTCGACATTACGTTGCATTTGTAAAAATTCACCTAGAAAGATGATTCTAGTACCGTTTGACGCGTCAAAAAGTAAGCTTTAAGATGAGTATAAGCACTGGATAATGCCATAATTAGCCGCTTTATGTCAGACGTTCCTTTTTAGTGTGTCCAGCCTTCAAATTAATCCCATATACTTTACTGAAGGGCCCTAAAAACAGACCCCCTTTGGGGAGCTGTCACGAAATCATTTTTTGACGTAGAGGGATGATTCTGGTACTGTTCAATGCGTCAGAAAGTAAGCTTTAAGATGAGCACAAAAACCGGAAAACGCCATAATTGAAAATTTTAAGGTAGCCGGTCCCCTTAACTTGGAGCCTTTCACTATCCAAGGTTTAACTGTAAATGCATTTTTAGGGGTGTTCCTTATTGCCCTGTCTTGTAAAAATTACGTTGCATTTGTAAAAATTCACCTAGAAAGATGATTCTGGTACTGTTTGACGTGTCAAAAAGTAAGCTTTAAGATGAGTATAAGCACTGGATAATGCCATAATTAGCCTCTATATATCAGACGTTCCTTTTTAGTGTGTCCAGCCTTCAAATTAATCCCATAGACTTTACTGAAGGGCCCTAAAAACAGACCCCCTTTGGGGAGCTGTCACGAAATCATTTTTTGACGTAGAGGGATGATTCTGGTACTGTTCAATGCGTCAGAAAGTAAGCTTTAAGCTTTAAGATGAGCACAAAAACCAGGAAATGCCAAAATTGACAATTTTAGGGTAGCCGGTCCCCTTAACTTGGAGCCTTTCACTATCCAAGGTTTAACTGTAAATGCATTTTTAGGGGTGTTCCTTATTGCCCTGTCTTGTAAAAATGGCCACCATTTTTTGCGTGGATGAGCTACGTAAATTCTGTTAGTCACATTTTAAGCCAACATCTGTGTGCAACTTCTATGTAAGTAAAAATTTTTAATATGGCAAATATTTTATTTGCTACAGGCCTTAACAGAGGTACTCTTCCAAAATCTCACTTTTTCAGGGATTTTTTTAGAGGTAGTGAATGTATGATTTCTTGACTTGCTTTATGCCACATAGATAGGAAACATGTTGAACTTTGTCCCATTATTTTTAATATTGCAATATTTAAATTACTTTAGTTGCTACAACAGTTCCACAAAAAGTCGGATGACTGTCCTGATTTATCCTGCCTGTCCGTTATTACCCCGTTTGATGGCAATTTTTGTTTTTATGTGAAAAAAATTTTAAAGAATATAATAATTTTCTGTACGATTTTTAATCCTTTGATCCTACATGTTGATGTTCTTATATTATGCATTATTTTTTTCACAGATGAATGAATAGTTTTGTGCTTGTGTCATAATGCAGTTCACTCAGGATGCCAATACTGCATCATATTTGTGTATAATTAGCTTGGCTATTTTAAATGTGCATTGCATTCACTATCACTCTCCTCTTGAAAAGGGAAAAATTGGTGCAAGTCCAAGTCATGGGCAAGGTTTAGGAGCACATCACCTTAATGAATCCAAAGAAGACTTTTTGAGTAATGCACCTTTCAATAATAGCCTGCTAAAGTGGTTCTTAGATGAACATGACAAGACAGCGTCTGCTCATTCTGCTGACTCAGTATCCAGCAACATCAACAACAGCTCTTTGATCCCTGAAGTGACATATGCCCCACCTCATCCACCAGACAATGATGTCAGCTCTCAGAGTCCACTTGCCACCACCAAGAAACCGGCAAAAAAATCAAAGCAAAAAAATCGGCTGAAAAATCGACAGCAAGGGAAGTCTAAAAACAATAAGGGGCTTGATGAAAATTTGATTGCTCAAACTAGTGAACCCAGCTTGGTTGATACTACAAATGGGATTCTCTATGATGCTACCAAAGAGCCGGCAAGCACTGCTTCATTGCAACCTCAGATAATAACAAATGAAGACACTCTCTCAACCACAGCCAATGTCTTGCATAGAAACTCTCTTCAAAGCTTAGAACAACCAAAGATACCACCTGAAAGTGACTTACTCAACTCGTCATCAGTTGATAGTGAATTAGTACGAGGGCTCAACAAGACTTCCAATGGTCTTCTGATGAATGCTAATTCTCAGTCATTGCATTCAGACTTTGCTCTCATTGTTGTTGTTCTTCTTGGTGTATGCATGTTTTTGGGGGTAAGTGCTATGTATATATTATTAATTTTATGCATGTATTGAAATTTAAGATACAGAAAAATTATAATTTAAAAAAATAGCTTGATAGGTGTAAGTTGAATTATATTTCTTTTTAACTTTTTTTTCCTAATTAAATGTTATTTGCTTATTTCTTGTGATTAAAAAAAAATTTTTAAGTTTTTTTTTTTATTGCTCTTTTAAATTGGATGGTAAGATTTGAATTTTTTGCAGCTTCTATACTACAAGCGCAGAGAAAAACAACAGCAGTTGGAGCGCATGAGTCAGCAGCTTCTCCCTAACTACTCCTACAACCCGACTGATGACCAGGACGACTGGGAGAATAAGCTCATCTCTCAAAGTGTAGGGCTTAAATCCAAGCCTCAGGTGGGTATTTACAGAATTTTTTATGATTAAGTTATTTTTTTTCATCAATATTTATGCATAGAATGCTTCCTTGAATTAAGTGCTAAAATCAAATACTTATAATCTCTGTTTTATTGTGTGTTATTGCATCTAATAACTTATTCTTTGTCCAAAGAAGTGTATTGTGTCCTATTTCTCAAATGCATATTTTGGTCTATTGCCTCAAATTTTAAATTTTCAGTTGAAATAGTTTTGCTCTGATAACACTCCATTTTAGAATTTCTAGTCTTAAGTGAATGAATGAAGAATTTAATTCATGGTCTGTTAAGACCAAATTAGCACATTATTGTATCATCTTGACCCAGCATTTTCTGGTTTAGCCATAAATTTATAAGTTTGAAAATGGCAACGGTTGAAATCTTTGAGTATATAGGTTGAAATTATCATTTCTTGAGTAGTAGCAGTCACTATTTTTACAAGGTATTATTCAATTTTCAATTGTAATTTTCAATATTTTCCTGGTGTTGAATTTCATCTCTTGTTTTCTGCCATTGACCATAGGTGGCCAGTGCATACAGTGATGTCGAGAGCAGCATCATTGCTGTTTAGTTCTTCCTGGAAGCTTGTCTCTCATCCTGGAGTAATTTACTGCACACAGTTGCTCTGTATTTTTTCTACTTGTACTAGTCAGAATAAGCTACAACTTTATTGGTGTGGTATTTAGCAACAACTATATTATTAATGAATAGCATAATTAGACTCACTACGATGAACAGGCTTTACTTTCCTATAAAACAACAGGCAAGGATAGAAGGTTGTATTCTTGAGTTACTCATCAAGGTTGTAATGCAAGATCAGTACCAATTTCATGCAATGAAGTGTGGCTGAGAATTAATTTTTATTCATTAGATTACTTATTAAATCCGCTTGTGCGCCCAATTGCCTTGGAATGCTTATGCTTTTCTGTGGGCTATTAACTAACAATTTTGAACATTCTTCTTCTATGTTCACTAGTGTACTGTGCATTTTTCTCCTACTATACTTCTTACAATTTGTTTCTAGTACTGCACAATTCAATTTCACTTATTTTTTTAATGCACCTGTGAATAATTCAAATCCATCCAGGGTTTGTGGAAAAGAATGAGTGGCGGTTTCTATAAAACCCAACTATCTTGGAAAAAATGTATTGTTTCATCGAGTGACTTCACTGAATTGACAAAACAAAAAAAAAACTTCCAAGTACCAAAGGATTTATTTTGTGACATAGGAATTAGATTAGGGAAACTTCTGCCAAAGATGGTGGAATAATTTCAGTTATTGAATTCACTGGAAGCATGACAGCAAAGAACCCTTATAAGCATGAAAAGTTAATTTCCTAATTAGCAATGTTCAGCCAATGTTGTTGGAACTCATCAGCATTGTTCCTGTAAATCGAGTTGCATTTGCACCAGATTTACTTTGCTGGAATGGGTACACATGCAATAAATTATTAATTAAGGGGGCATACTCATGGCATGTGTGAGAATCAAATCTTTATTAATGATCTTAAAAATCACACTTTACATAAAAGTAGAATCAATGCTTTTAATTTACTGCGTATGTGCTTCTGGCTTTCATTCTAACCACAATGTATATTTCAATATAATTAACTTTTCATTATTTTGATCTATTGAAGCATGAATTTTATGTTACTTAATAAGGCATTCTAGACAAGTCCTCCCTATTGCCTTTATTTGTGAATCATATGATCATTGATGAACTGATTGGAATTAATTTGACAAGCCTCCCATTATTATCATAAAAAAGTCACGATTATAAATATGGTTACCTAGTTTAGTGATCAAATGCAAAGCTCAAAAGAAGAAGCCCATAAATTATTTCCAAAGAGCTCGTTGTGATGGCGAAATATGTGTTTTCTCAATTCCTGTTTGTCTTGTTTGTATGCACGCCAGTGACATCCAATAAACGTTCATGTCTTATGAGCCCACATTGTGACTGAGAAATCATTGCAAATCTTGAAAGAATCACGGTTATATTTTTTAAGGAGAGAATACTTGCCTGAAGCTTTTTAATTTCTGTGTTGATCAATTCAAGTGTATTGTCACAAGTTTATTATAAACACAATCTAAGTAATTGAAAATGTCCCAAAATTTGCCTGCTCTTTGGCAGCTTTTGTGTGATGTGAAATTCGTGCAATTTGTTAACAATTTGCAGTGCTATGAGGACCAAAATGTAATGCAGTGCAGTGATGGCTTTAGTTGAAATGCAGTGCAGTGATGGTTTAGTTGTAATGCAGTGCAGTGATGGCTTTAGTTGTAATGCAGTGCGATGAAGGCAGTAATAACCAGATGGTCTCAGTGTGATGACTTCCAGGCATTATTTACATTCTAGTCTAACTGAGTTTTACTAGTGATAATGATAAATGTGTTGATTCAATTACTTGTATAAAGCCATTCGTTTTTGACATTACCACACATGAAGATCAGTGGCAAACTTGGCTGCTGTAATTTCATTTTTCTCCTAACTGGAGCATCTAATACGCTAATAGGGCATGTCATGTTTTCTGTCTTGTGCTCTTATCTTAATATTATATTATTTTATTTCTTTAAGATTTGTTCTTGTTAAAATTCTTTAAGATCTCAGTGATTAACATCCATGTTGGCTCAAATTAGGGAGTATACCAAATATTGATTTTATTAATTTATCGCCGTATGAACATTCTCCTACAAACATGTATCATTGTTCAAAATATGCCTCTACTCAAGTGTGTAATAATCTCATCCAGAACCCAAGCATTGTTCTCGATGGTTTCACCCTGGAGGGAGTCGAGAACTTTACCTATCTCGAGTCCACTTCCGGTATCTCCCGTTCACTGTCCATCAACTCTGAGATTAACAGCTGGATCGCCAGGGCCGCCCCAGTCATGGCCAAATTAACCCAGCGTGCTATGAAAAACTCCAGCCGCACCGTGAAGATTAAGCTGTGCGTCTACAAGGCTTGCGTCATCGGCACTCTTCTGTATGGTTGCGGGACATGGACCATCTACGCGAGGCACGAAAAGAAACTCGACGGCTTCCACATGAGGTGTACCCGGCGCGTACTGCAGATCAGGTGGCAGGACAGAGTCCCCAATACTGTAGTACTAAAGCGATCTAATATGATCTCTCAGTTCACAGGAGAGACGTCTCAGGTGGCTGGGGCATGTTAGTAGGATGGTAGCGGGCCGTATACCCAAGGACCTCCTCTACGGCGAGCTCGTGGAAGGCCGATGGAAAACGGGACGCATAAAACTGCGCTTCAGGGATATCTCCATGTGGGATTTAAAACAGTGCCGCATCAAATCATCCTCGTCGGAGACCCAAGCAGCTGACCGCCAGGGCTGGATGCTCGCTGTCGGGCAGGCCGTGTCCTACGCTGAGGTCGAGCGCCGCGATGGCGACTCTCAGGGGGAATTTCAGACGGAAACGACGGTCGACGCATCCGCGACAGCTATCTACCTTCACTTGTGATGGCTGTGGATTAGATTGTCACTCCAGGATCGATCTTTACAGTCATTCTCGGCGATGCAGGCGGGACCGATAGCTACTCTATCGTCTCTCGAGACGGACGGATGCCGACGACTAACACTTCTGATAATTCAACCCTAACACTTCCGATACTTCAACACGAATACTTCCGATACTTCAACCCTGAACACTTCCGATACTTCAACCCTAAAACTTCCGATACCTCAACCTTAACACTTCTGATACCTCAACATTAACACTTCTGAAGTTCTGATACCTTTAATGCTTACACCGTGATGCTGCTGGTTGTCCTTTTATCTTCAAGTGTCTGCGAGGTCTTTCTACTTCTTAATTCGCGATATATATTTCTTCCTGTAGCAATAGTTTTTTCATTCAATTTTGAAGAACAATTCCTATTCGTTGCCTGCCGTTGGACTCGTAACTTTGCTGTACAGTTCAACTGCAATATCCACGCGTCTTGCTCTCATTCGAGAGCAAGACTGCCTTCCATCCATGACGCTGTGAATTTTGGGCTGATTAATGTAGTACCTTTAATCGTTCTATTGTTATAAATGTTTGATTTAATATTTGCATTGTTTAAATCTTCTCTTTCTTGGCTAAAATGTGTCTTTTATTTATCTATAGTAAGACAGGATAACATTTGAAAACCAGATACCGGCGATCGCTTTCTGGCTTTTGCAAACTATTTCAGTGGACGGATTGTTAGGCTACCATTTTGCACCAGACCATTTTTTAGGATGTCGTTCTATTAAATACTAGCCTTACTTAGCAGATAAGGATTCACTAGCTTTTGTTGTGAAATAGGATGAGAGGTTTAACATGTTTACAGCGCTTAGTGCTCTTTCTTGTTAGTGACCAATGAGTCTTGAGCTGATTGTTCGGAACTACTGATGAGTTTAAGACTCGTGATAGAATATGACTATAGAGTTGTGAGCTGATGTGAAAATCCTGTTAATGCGTATATTAGAAGACTAGTCATGAGCCGCGTTGTGCAGTGTTCTATTTTAACTGCAGGCTGGCGTAATGTCAGAGACGAGCATTGTGTGATACTATCTGTAATGAGGGAATATTTGTGATGCTGATGGATGGCTTAAATTGTTAGCAATATAATACACTTCGAAACTCGCGTGTGTACTTATTGTGTTTAACATCTATTATTGCGGAGTGAATTGCTTGCTCCTGAAGATTTCTGCGCTTTAATATCTTTCCGACTGTCGAGAAAACCGCTCGAGAAAAGGCCAACTTTCGAGTATAATACTTGGCCTATAACTTCCTAGAAAAGGCCAAGTATAACAAAATGAGTTGCTTTTAAACCTTTTAAAAGCTACTCCTTTTGTTATAAGTGGTTGCTTATGAGCCTAAGCAGACTCGAGCTTCTTCGAGCCCTATTTATCTAGTCGTTGGGAACCGCCGCTTACTAGATCAGACCAACCCACCTCTCCACCGTGGATGAAAGAGACTTCGCTTGCAGGCAGCCAGGACCCAGGAGCGTGTCTCATCAATCTGTCGGGTTCGATGTAGCAAGCTCTTTCCCTCCCCAATCTTTTAGTTATCAAAAAGCTTCTGTACTGAACACCAATCTGTTGAGTGTGACCGTTGTAAGGACCCTTCTTTTTTAATCACCAAACTTGCTGCTGTTGGGAAACGCTGCACTGAAAACAAGTTAAATCAATTTTGTGCGAACCTGCAGCTTTCAATTAAAAGGCGGAGTGAATCCAGGTCCTAACAAACGAATTTTCTAGTCACAAAAAATAGCTGTTTTTTATATTTTTACTTTGATTATTGGACAATAAACATTATCCACATTAAACGGTTCGGCTGTTCTATGCTCTGTCAGGGATCCACGGCGTAGCAATATCCGTTTGAATTGTGAGGTATGTTCATAGTGCATTCACAATCCACAAATATTAGCGCTTTGCACGTTAATTAACAATCTCATGGTGAACGTGACTTGCTGGAAACGGAGCGAGAGCCATAATTTCCATTGGACGATATATAGATGCGTTTTTACGTTGTTGAAAATTTCTAAGCATTAGGCTGAAATTATTTTCAAATACTTTGATCACATGTTCGCAGTTAATTATTTCAGGCGATGTACGTAAGAGAAGCACGTGTTGTAGACGGAATATAGGTTCAACAAGTGTCGTATATAAAATGTACGTTTAGCACGTGCAGTAGAGGAAGTGTAGGTACAACGCGTGCTTTAGAAGAAATGATGTATCGTAAGAAAATAGCAGATGTGCACCATGAGCCGTACATTAAAAGGTGATGCAGCACGTGCTTTAGATCAAATGTATATGATTATGTGTTGCACCTGCCTACAAATACAATATAAAGTCGCATCTCTCGTATATATTTTTCATTGTTAAATTGAATGCTAATTTGTTTTAAAGCTCGACATTCGAGCAACTAAATGGCATGGCTGAACTATTTACTAGTTTAACCATGACTAAATGGCATCTTGCCTAAACCAAAAGTTAACCGATGTAACATTTACCTCGAAGTTGTCTCTTGCGTGAAGGTGATATTTTGTTTGGCTTGAAAATTGCGTAAAAGTGCGTTGCTGAACGCAGGTAAAGCTATTTCTATTTACGATGACTATGTGTAAATGAATGCTAAAATGAAAGGCAAGAAAGTTTAATTAGTTCATGTTAGAATAAAATGCGATCATTAAGAAGAAGACTAATAAGATGAACATTAGGATGAAAGGAGATACGGAGAATTATAATGAGGGCGAAAAGTGATAAATAGCGTCCTGATAGGATGGAATGTTGTCATGTGGAAGACAACGACGGTGAAATTTAAGAAGATAGCAGCTGTAAGGCCTATGAATTTGAGGATGACAGACAGGCCCGATAGCAATACACACTAAAAAATCTGGTGAAGAATATCAGCGTTAGCTCTGGTGTCCATTCAGACTCAGTTCTTTGTTCATGGCGCGGAAGCTCAGAGAACAATAGCATGAGGTGGTCAGAACGCTGGCTCTAGACCGATACTGTTGCGCAAGTTTTGCGTCAGTCGCGTTGTAGGAGCTACTGCGTATTGAGTGTGTACTCTTGTTTTGAATCTCTTACATAATGTAATATCTGGGAACCCCATTGAATTGACGCTCACTTGGTAATTTGAATATCCTGCTCTGGAAAATTTGTGGGGCTTTTCCGCTTCCGCGCAACCGACTATCTGCTCTGCATTTGCCTTCACAACCTGAAGGGAGGCCAGCTAAAAGATCCGTAGCGGCTGACGCCAATAACAATTGCTTCTCTATAATGAACCTCAGCCTATTTGTACCCGCGATTCATGTACTAAAGATATGAAACAACATCTAATTCTTTCATGGGGCCACTTCGCCAAATGTTTTTAGTATATTGGCGTTTTATATTTATAACTTTATAAACGCTTAATTCTGTGGTCTCGCCACACAATCTCTTTTCCTGTTCACCATGACAATACCGAGTTTTATTCTGCGTCCCGTGACCAAGCTAAGTCTCGATTTGCTCACCGCGAACGATCCGAGTCTTGTTTTGTTCACTTCATAGATAGCGATGCAGCTTCGATTACGCCATGTTGGTCTGTTGTTGATGTGGTTTTAGGAAACATGGCGTAATCCTGTGTTGATGTGGTTACAAGATACAACGGCCCTTATATTATCTATGTTTTCCAGTAATTCTATGCTTACCTCGTTCCTCTGAACGATATTATCTGCCTGTGTAGCGTTCAAATAATGAGGATTCTAGTTTCATGTTCGGGATCAGAAATATTTTTTAGCGTGTCAGTGATCGATGAACTGGTGCGGCCTATTATTAAGAAGCGGCCGCTCGAAATCATCGTTAAAGTTAGTATTTAATTTGACCCCCAACGTCAAACCTACACTCTTATACTCAGCTAAAAGCAGCTGATCGTTTTCTCTCGATTTTGCCTCAGCATTCTTTCGTCATCACTCCCGCTAAAGTTCGTGGTCCTTCAGAAGGCATAAAAAGACTATCCACTTATGAACTGGTCTCTATAAAATTGCTAAATACGTTTTCTTAATAAATTGTATACGTGATAAGATTCGTATAAATAAATTGTCAAGTTCCGAAGAGGATGGCCGAACTGCAAAAACAATTTGTTTACATTCAGAAAACCAGTCAATGAGTTGAAAACGTTTCGTTGGTCCTATTGAGCATTTGCGAAACAAATTTTCCATCAAACTAATCAATGTAATTATAGGCATAGATTACAATTAATTGTATTCCTGAAATTTTTAATTGTTATTTGATAAAACCTTTTTAAATCGCCATAACTTCTGATGATTATAATGTGCTTACGCTTGAATTAACCGCTTATGAATGTCTCGCTTTCACGCCTAGCTTCAACTAATGCTGATCTTCGGACAATGAAAAGTAAATTGATTTTTCGCAATTTATTAAAACGATATAATTTCAAAACATCCAAAGTGGCTTAAAAGATTGTTTTAAACGTCTTGAGAAGATTGTTTGAACCATGGTTGAACTATAATCTACTAGTTCAACCATGGTTTGAACGCTCTGGAAATGTTTTTGTATCAGGAGATGAATGAGCGTAATATTCCTCGCTTTATTGCACCAATGGATAGGACAAAACTTAATAAGGAACGTATTGAGGCCATATATACTCTTAAACCGTCGAGACACAGTAAAGTCGCACTCATTCAAAAAACAAATGCCATTCTTTATAAATGGAATTACGTGGAAATCCGCTTCTCGGTAATTTATTCCTATTTCCGTTGTTAAATGTACAAAAGAGAAATAAGATATTCATTTAAATACGATGTATAGGTTGCTAAAAAAATTTACTTCAGCAGGTTGAAATTCTCTTATACATAACTTTAATTGAGACGTGATTATGGGCAATCCCTGCATAGGTAGGTACTAGCGCTGTATTCACTTACATAGTAAAATCACTCAATCGTTGTGCGAGGCATCAAAGTTAATGAAACAAGAATATAGTGTATGTCCTGCTAGTGAATTTCCAAAAATTCTTGAGCCGGGATTTTTGCCTCCTGACTCATTAGCTATCAACTGGAGAAAGAAAAAGGAACAAAATCGTTAGATAGCAATTAACAATTACGAGTAATGCGATTCAGAAGTTTTTCTGCCTGTACACCAATTCCAGTCCACATCAAGATTGAGGAAAAAGACCCCCCTGCCGTATGGTAGACGTCGAATTAGAAGCCAATCGCCGACACGCGAGAAACTTCGAGCTCTGTATGTGTACTTGCAGGCCTGTATGCGACTTCAGCAAAATCCCTGCATCCGCTGAGTCAGCTATAGCTTCAGATGCCACAGGTCACTTCGGTTGACTGTGTTTAGTGAAGGCCATCAACTTCAGTGGACGAGTTGTATGGCCCAGCAACAGTGATCATGTGCTAAGACTCCGACAATATCATGCGTATGTGCAGTTCACAACTCTACCTTACATAAATTAGAACACATCGCACTTACATGCAGCAGTGATAGTTATTGGTTATCAACCACGTGCAAGTCATGGTTGAACTACTACTAGTTCAACCATATGTGTAAGTTATTTGGCCTGGATGAAGTCAAAGAAGTTGATGATCGTAAGACTACGAGCAGTGGGCAGTTGGGTGACGCTGCATATCAGGGCGCGGGTAATAGCTTCGTGCCCGAATATGATCCCAGCGCCTTCGTCAATTTCAGAAGCTGTGGATGACCAGGGGAATTGGAATTTTTCGAATCTTGTTAATTGAAGATGAAATCATTGTCATCGAATTTATATAATTACGGGCACCTCCAGAGCTTACAAGTAAACACTGATTAAGTAGGTTTCGTAATGCGTGGTATTTTGTACAGTTACCACCTGCTCATTTTAAATTACGGCAATGTCTTGGTTGTATTGAATCATGGCTTAATTTGTCCTTTGGAAACACTTATACTGACCCAACTTATATGTAACAGAATATGAAATCACAGTTTAGTTTTTAAAGCCACGCTCTCACTGCAATCTATTGGCTTTGATAAGTAATAATTGAAAAAACGTAGATCATGAAAACAGTTACGCGTGATACTGATTAGATATTAATATGAACGTAAGACCAGTTGACACCACAAAAAAACTATTCCATGCAGCAGCCCGACTTTAGATCAGATAATGTCAAGCAAATGAAGCCTCTTGAACTTGAGAGTGTACATATATACAGCCAACCCGTTACGCAGAAAAAATACGTTCAAAAGAAAGTAAAACTACGATCATCACATCTAATATTGCATTAATTGATTATATCATCAGGTTCTATACAATCAGCAGAATGATCGCATGTAATTAAAGATGCGCTTTAATCAAAAATATTATATAAAATAACCATTACAGAGGGATTTTTGTAAGTCAAAATCTTTCTTATGTTTAACTTTTATTTTCATTTGACAATAAAAATATAGTTATTTCTAACCTTTAAGGATTAGCGGCCATGTTTATAAACAAAATTTTCTGTTATACTATTGTTACGGAGATTTTATAGGCAAAACATAGAAAGCCTCATAACATAGTCGATGAAAGCTGAACCAGATTGTCTATATAATGTATAGCCAGCGCTCTATCGAATATTTGAGAACGAAGACAGTATCACACTGTGATCGACAGTGCACGTCAAGAAACAGATAATGTAGCAGGTCTGTTATCCCAATTCCCAAATGACTAAATCAAGTAAATTAAAGACAAAATAGCGCAGCTCACGTGAGTTATACAATGTACTTGTACGGCCCACATACGAGCTAACTGTACGTGAAACAAGCTGAATTAACGAGTGTTCCAAGTTCCGACATTACCACTAATTAGAAATTAGAGAGACAATTTTATCCAGTTTTTAATGATGACTTCTTGAATAATGAACAGCATCGTAACTGTTTAAGATTTCAATAAACTAAGTTCGCATTCATAAACATAAAATTCATCGGTAAATTACAAACAATTTCTGAAACGAATCCTGCCATTAGTATATTTATATATACATCAGCACTTGCACTTCACAGGTGTACAGCTGATCGATCCCGTCGCAGGTGTAACTAGCGCGCCAGGAATATTGGGATCAATGCGGGTACACACTCCTCTTTCTTACGCATTTCATTCCCACGGCGGCCGGCGCAGATAATAAATCGTTATTATACAGAGGATGAAAATAATCTATCTCGTGAATTAGAATTGAGCCGAAAAAATACACATATTTATCCTCTAGAGGCAGGGTATTTTTTTAACAATAATATTTTAGGTAATACAGTATGTCTTTGTTTTATTGATTTCATTTGGTGAGTAGAGTAAAAAAAATGTTTGTGTGTCGTAAACATGCATTTTATTTTGAAAACACATGACCCTAATAAATAAGGTTATGTACAGAGCAAATTTCTCTCGCATAAACACAAACGTAGACATATATACGGTTAACGCAAACTTACAAGCTGAGTCACATAGACATTAACACGCAGACAAGCAAGCACATGGCCACACACGTTTAGTCTCCCAATTTTGCTCGAAAAGCACGTGCAAACGCACGCACGACAGCAAACTCTTGTCTGGCAACTCAACTGGGTGCGTTTTGAGTTTTAGATGAGTAAATGCTGTTTTTTTCTGACTCTACACCCGATTTCGAACGTCATGAATTGCTGAGATGCTCAGACGTCGTTTCATTAAACATTGTGCTGACAAAATTCAACAGGTAGAACGTATCACGTATGAAATTCATATTATCCACCTCAGAAGATAATTAACAATATGTGTTATGAGTGTGAACAGTCATGAAGACAGAAGCTAAATAAAATTTCAAGTAGAATTATTTTGTCAAGTAATATACAGTCGAGACTTTTCATTTAGGTGTTTGTTTTTAGTTGTAAAAAAATATCAGCCCATTGTTAAAAATTTTTCTAACTGCAAGTAAAAAGATTAAATGATAAATAATCTCAAATTCATTCAAAAAATACTTAGAAGACAAAAACTTGAAATGTAATCCAGTAAAAATTCATCAAACAGAAGAAACGTCACAAGTGCAAGTTGTTGAGTGAGCGCACACGTTTCTGGCAGAGGAGGCGAGAGATGCGTACAGAACACACAGTTGAAGAGCGGCCATGGCCTACACTGCTGGCTGTTCCAATCTCTAACGAGTCCTCCTGACCTCATACACCTCGCTCTCTCCTCGACCAATCATGAAAAAAATACAGCCATTTGATGACGGAACTTGAGTGGCTGACCAATGAACAGAAGACGAGAATCCTGGCTGTGACGTAGAACGTGTGGCAGATCAGCCAGACGGCGCACAGTCTCTCAGTCACCCGGACTGCCGGGTCCCGCCAGTCCATGTCGCCGCCCCAGTCAGTCACCAACGCTGCGCCGTCGTGATAACACGTGCGGCCTCATGCAGCAGTCCATAGAAGATTTACAATACAAGTTAAAGCAGTGTTTAGATAGTTCATACAATGTAAGATATAACTTTAATTTGTAAACAACAATATTGTGTTAATTTTTATTTAAAATGTTGGTTTTGTTACTCGTTTAACACGATATTCTTCAAAAGCAGCCATTGGCGAGCTTCGAGCAGAGCAGAAATGGCTTCAAATTGTGTTGCCAATTATGTGTGAACTGCTTTAATGGTCATGATCATTTCTATTCAAAAATTTTCATAACATATCAAAGCACAGCTTGGTGACTGAAACGGCGAAATGGACTGAATTTTAGGCCAAGTGAAAGATTTTTGATGGGCTGCGCTGCTCTCCAATGCGGTCCGGTGCAGAAGGTCGACAGCAGCGACTGTGCTGTGGCAACGATGTTCTTTCCGGCGCAGGCGCACTGCGCAGTTCCTGCAACGCAAACTAGTTCCTTCATATTATCAACATTTTTACTGAATTTGGTGTCCATACTTATTACTATATACTACTAAACTATATTTAATTCTCAATACATTTTTCTTCATCAGTTGCTTTGAAGAATCTAATAATTTGTATAAATCAGTTCATCGTGAACGCATCTCAAGTACCTACTATTTAAGAGTGCTCGATTGTCAGAAACGCATAAAATACTAACAAAAAGTCAGTCAGCAAACAGTTTGCCAAAATATATTATATGCTTCATATCATGTTGAATATTAGAACAATTTGTAAGTGCAATATCTGCCATCAAAAGGGCCTGAGATAGGATCTAGCGAATGATCACATGTTGATTGCGTTGCAGGAACTGATGCAAATTCCTCCGCGATTCCGATATGTTAACCTAAAATAATTGGCTGCAGTTGTTAGCTATAGTTTCTACAATTGGATAGCTTGATAAACTTTATTCGCCGGTTTCATCATAACCTGTGGCCAAAGTTGATTTATTTCTCTGAACCTATGGATATATTGTCTAAAATGTATCAGCGCCTGAGAATGTACGTTTTTTATCAATGCTTAGATATTTTTTTCATGTATGATGTACCTAGCTATGGGATGGCTTTTTTCTCGGAATTATGAGCGTGTTCTAAACTTCTAAGTTGGAAGCTATACTCCTGTAAGTTTGACTGTTCGAGATATATTGAAAACCAATCCAGTAATAGCTATTAGGAGCTACTTCTACAAAATTTCTGGATGGAATTGTAGGAATGGTGATTCATTTATTCATGAATCATGATCAATAATGTTTGGTAACTTGATAAATTCCAAAATTCAGTTAGCTAGAGGCTAGAAATGAAATGAAAAGAACATCATCTAATATCAGATTTTAAGATCCAAAATATGTGCAATTTTCTACAACCACATGTTACCTCTCTCAAATCCCACTCTCCATAAACTGCTATTTATTTGTGCAGAATTGAAATAAGCCTAATATTTTCTAAAATTTACATGGAGTAACGCGGTATATTCCAACATCGTGGGTAATTCCAAAACTTATAAACTTTTTTCCTTTATATTAAGCTTTCTCTCAGTTCCACCGTTCCACGCATTTGTTGATGGTTGAAATAGTGACGTCATAGTCCATAGTGACAAACCAGAGATTTTTTAGAATCGGTTCATTTTTAATTTCCTCATTTACCCAAGATTTAAACCAATTTCTTATGTAGGGTAAATGCGGTATATTCCGACATCGTAGGTAATTCCGTCACTTCTCTAGTTTTTCCTTTATATTAAGCTTTGTTTTAGTTCCATGCGTTCATTGATGGTTGAAATGGTGACGTCATACATTTGCGTGTCGAAATACTGCAAAAACACTAGGTCTTGGCCATCTAGCGGGAAAATAT